GCTGGGGACCACCTCCGGGACCCCCCCCTTCCGCGGGGAAGGCATCAGAGGTCGACTCAATGGCAGCGCTGCAAAATATCTCGCTGTCGAGGGGCCGGTGTGTCTCGCTTCTGCCGGCAGGCTCGAGGACGGGGGCCGAAGGAGAGGGGAGGAGCGGCGACGGACTCAGGGGAAGGAGGGGACGTGATGGCGGCGGCGACGCGACGGCGGCAGCGACGGCGATGGTCGGGCCGGACGAAAGGGGGGGATTGGGAAAGGCGGGGCTACGAAATTTGCTGCATGCAGCTGGTTGCGGCCTCGCCGAGGGGCCCGTCCCTCGATACCTAGCCGCCTGCGGCGCCGGGAGGCGCCGGGAAAATCGGCCACGTGAGCTGATTCTCAAACCCCCCCTTTGCTATCCCCCCCTTTCGCCCGGCCCGAGATGGCGACGGAACAGCCTTTGTCACAAGCCGACAGGGTCGGCGGATTTCTCAGCGACTTCTTCTCCGTCTGAGGCAGATCTGACTGCGCACTGGCTCGTCGAGCGTCGATGACATGATGCATTTTTGGGTTTGGGAGAAGCGACGCGGCAATACACCCTTCCGTGCCAAAGCACCTCATACGCCCTTCCAAGTCTTTCTCCTCACTGCCAGAAGTGCCCCCATGACAGGCCAGCGTAGTTGGGCTTCCCATTTTGGCCACGGACTTTGAAAAGACATTGCCTACGGTAGGTTTGCGTCGTGTCGACCAGCGGCGACCCCAGCGCGGGCGTTCAAGGTTGAACGCCGCCGGCGACCCAGAATCGATCGATGTTGAACGATCGGACGTTGCGGCAGCGGCCGATCGTTCAAGGTTGAACGATCCCTGCGGTGTCAAAAACCAGCGCCGGGGTCGACACGACGCGAACCTGCCGTAGTTGGGCTTTAAATTGGGGGACGGACTTTGAAAAGACATTGCCTATTGCCTTGCATCTGCCTGGCATGTGGTCAGGAACGCGAGCAGCAGTGATCATAGAGCTTGTGTCACGACGTCCCCCCCCTTCTCGAAGAAGGGCAGCCCCCCTTTCCGTAAAGCTGTTGTGCCGTGTTTTACCCGTGTGGTCGTAAATTTCGAGGAAGGGTCAAGCGACAGTTTCAAAGCTCCTCCTCCTCCTCCTCTGAAATTAGTTGCCATGAATCCGTGCTGCTCTACACGCGGCGAATGTCCGGGATGGAGAATCAGAACGCGGTCGCAGGCGAGATCTGTATTTTGCCACACACAGAATCGACATGTCCTCCATCCGGCCAAATGTTGAAGTGAACAACGAGTGCACGCGGCGTCGGGGTCAGAGCCCAGCTTTGGAAACGAGCAGTGCTCACTAGTTTGAAGGTGTTGCACGATTTTGAGGCGAATGCTCACTGCGCTAACGCGAGAGCCCTCATTTCAAAAAGAACTGCTCTCCATCTGTGAAGGTGGTGCAGAAGTGAAAGACGAATGCGCGCGGCGCTAAGGCGAGAGTAGCATTTTGAGAACGGCACCCGCTCCATCCATAAGTATAGAAAGTGTTGCAAACGTTGAAGTCGAATGTGCACGGCGCCAAGGCGAGAGCGATTGTTTGATATCCGCCTTATATATGTGGCATTGTTTGTAAGTTGTTAAGGCGAATGCGCGCGGCGCTGAGTTTAGAACCACCACGTCAACAGGAACCGCCCGCCATCTGTAATCAGGTCGCAGGTTTTCAAGACGCATGCGCGCGGTGGTAAGGCGAGCACCACAGTTTGACCCTTCATCCAGCCATGCTACTGGTGCAAATAGCGAGTTTCAGGATAATGCACGGTGGTGGAGTCTCAGGCGAATTTCCCCGCCCGCCTGACCGACACGCTGGGTGGGGGCACGGTGAGGAGGAGGAGGAGCAGGAGCAGGAGGAGGAGCAGAGAGGAGGGAGGAGGGATGAGAGGAGAGAGACAGAGAGAGAGAGGCAAGCTAGGTACGCTCGCGCCACATCTGACACCCGATCCCTCCCCCCCACCCACTCCACTTGCGCTGATGTTTCTCTATCCCGCCACCTGGTTTACCAGCCTCGAACGTATCCCTATCTCTAAGATTGACACGCCAAAAGGCGATGACAATCTTAGGGATTCGCCCTTAAAAAATAAGGGAACCCCTAATATTGGCATCGTGATGAGGAGGTGCCCAGCATAGAGATAGGGATATGTTCCAGGCTGGTAACTGGTGTCATAGCGAACCTGGCACACCCAAAAAGACCCCGTCGTGCTACGCACAATCTGAAATAGGGAGCTGCGCGTATTGGAGGGGGAAGCTGCGGTTGAGCAGGAGGATGAGCAGGAGGACAAGCAGAATGATGAGGGAGGAGGAGGAGGAGGAGGGCGACGAGGAACGGGAGGAGCACGAGTACCAGGGGAAGGCGGGGAAGTGAGAGGGAGACGACAGCGGCGAGGAAACATCCGGATTCCGAGCTGAGGCCCGCGCTGGGGCGAGAGCGCCGTTCTGAACGACGTGAGCGAAGCGCCGATCTTAACATGAGGCCAACGCTGCAGCGAGATACAAACTGACATCAAGGGAGGAACAAAACACCCCGACCCCGAGAATTGGCGTTTACTAAGCGGCCCTGGGATTTTCCTGAGCAGCCCTGCCCTGTTCGCTTCCTTCCTTTGGTGCGTTTGCGAAACGGCTTCGCTCGTCTGGGTGCTTACTGCAGTCAGCCCGCAAAGCAAGGATGGGCAACCTTCCCAAGGGCACCCTAACATCCTTGCCTCCTCGGTCCATCCTTGGCCACTTTCGCTGGCCGCGCCCCGCTCGGAAAGCTTCGAGATGGGCGTCCAGGGCCCTTGCATCCTCATCGCGCATCCTTCTGATACGGGCCGGCTGTAGGCTCAGGGGGGGCGCATCGACCCCCAATCGCCCACTCGTCGCCAGAGGCTGTGGCGGGACGCAGGAACCGCAAGGGGGGCAACGTTGGGGGAGGGGGGATCGGCTCACGGGAGGTTCGAGTTTCAGGGCTCCCAGGCGTTTTCGTCGGTTCTCGGCGGCTTCGGCAGCTGCGCCTCGCCAAGCGCATTCCAGAGGTGCCAGGATCATCCCGAACGGCCGCTGGAGAGCCCAGTTAAGGCGCGAAAAACTTGAGGGACAACGTCAGGGTGGGACAGGCTCAGGGGGGATGCATCGACTCGCCGCCGACGCAGGCTTGGTAGCCCTCCCCGCCCAGGAGCGTGCGCTTTCGCTATTGGGGGGCCGATCGCCGATCTCTGGGCGATGCATCGCCGAATCCAGGTGGATGTCTCCCCTCCTGAGCTGGTCCTTTGTGGGCCACAGAAACGGCAGGGCCGTTTTTTCATCGTTTCCAAAAAAGTGTCCCTTGAAAATGGAAACGGCAAACAAACGGCGACCGGAAACGGCAAAAAAACGGCTCCAGGATTGGAACCGGAGCCGGAACCGGTCAAAAATCGGCGACGGAACCGGTAAAAAACGGCGTCGGAACCGGCAAAAAAACGGCAAACGGAACCGGTAAAAAAACGGCCCTGTCGTTTCCAGGGCCCACTGAGCCCCCTGGCGTTTCCCCTCACCCCTTCGCAGCGCGCCACCCGTGGTGGACGCGTACAGCCTCTCGGCCTTGGGAAACGTACGGTTAGGCGCGGCTGGGGGGGGAGGCCTGCGCCGGTCTGAGAAATCCGCGCGGAGCTGCGACAGCTTCTTGTTATGCAGTTGTTTGTTCCTCTGTTCGACCTTGGGAAACGTCGGTATCAGGTCTTCTCCGATGCCTCCTCTGGGATTGAACTCCTGGGAGGTTCTGAGTCGGCGCTGGCATTCCGCCCGTCGAAAACTGGCCCAATCTGACTAAATCCCGTTTTTGTCCGGCTACATCCCGCCCAATCCGGCTTCATCTTGGGCCTAATTCAGTCTAATCTGGGCCAATGGCTTTTGATTCGGGCTTACGTCGGACGGGGCTAGGACGAGGATAAATCCGTTCCAGAGCGTTCCGGAACGCTCTCAGAGCGTTCCGGATCGCTTTGAGAAGGCCGCGGCGTTTGATTTACATTCCAGGGCGGCCAGATCTAGGAGATTCTTGATTGATCCCCGCCTGATGTTATCATCGTCCTGGTTTTGTCTTATGGCGAAGACCTTCCCCATCGGTCGTTGAAAGTAGGTATTTTTGGATTCCCAGATTCCAATCTACTTTAAGCGCCTTCCTACTGCAATGATCGAGAGACTTCACCTTTTCCGTCCTCCATGTAGGGGTCGAGCGGACACCCGATCTACTTTCAACGTTTTCCTACTTCATGTTTCTACCTTCGCAGGCCCAGAGGTTGACACCAACACCAATATCGGCGGTATGTCTCCACCGCGGGAAGAATATCCCGATCTCGGTGATGGTGGTAATATTTTGGCTTCAGGGTGACGGACGTATCACCATCAACACCGAAGTCTAGGATCATCTTCCCCCTGTGGAGGCACCCCACCCTGTGTTGGCGTTGGTGCCCATGTCCAGGCCCCCAGTGCTCCGAGGTTGGTAAACCTCCCACCCTGACTTTTTTTGGATCTGCAGGGCGAGAGCGAACCTCTTCCGCTGAAAGCTAAGCGGGCCGCGCACAGCTTTAATTAGCAGAGAATGGGCGGAAGAAGGCGGGGCCTCACGCGGCCGGGAGTAGGCGAAGCCCAGGGCCTCCCACCCTGACGCGCCGATCAGCGAGTTGGCCGTTTTCGGTTCGCGAGAGGTGGGCAACTGTCCTGACTGGGGCCTGCCGGGAGCTGCCTCCCGAGCTCCCTTCAGGCCGGACGAAAGGGGGGGATCGGGAAAGGGGGGGGTACGAAATTTGCTGCATGCAGCTGGTTCCAGCCGCGCCGAGGGGCCCACTCCTCCATACATAGCCGCCTCCGGCGCCGGGAGGCGCCGGGAAAATCGGCCACGTCGAGCCTCGATGACATTCGCCCGACCCGAACCCTTCGCGCCGCGGCCGCGAGAGCGCCGCACACCCCGCGCGGCCGGTGGGCGGGGCGGCCTCGGCCCCGGCGCCCGCCCGCAGGCCCTGCACCTGCCGTCTCCGCGCCCGTCGCCCCGTGGCAGCAGTTCCAGGCGGGGAGGGAGGAGGAGGAGGAGGAGGAGGAGGAGGAGGAGGAGGAGGGACGAGCAGGAGGAGGAGGAGGAGCGGAGCAGGGAGGAGGAGGAGGAGGAGAGGAGGAGGAGAGGAGGAGGAGGACGGAGGACGGAGGGAGGAGAGGAGGAGGAGGAGGAGGAGGAGGAGGAGGAGGAGGAGGAGGAGGAGGAGGAGCAGGGAGGGTGCCGACCATGGCTCTACGCTCTGTGACCTACGCTCTATGGCCTACTGTCGGGTGCCGCTGCGAGCAGCGCTTTGGGAAGCAACGCTGGGGGGGCAGGGGGGGGGCGTCGCCACCCTGTGGGCCGTGGGAAGCGGTCCTCGGGGTCCCGGGTCAGATTGCCGACACCCCCCCCCCCTCTCCGGTCCCCTCCGTTGTGGGCAGGGGTGGGCGAGGGGTTGCCCCCGCCCCCCCCTCCCCTGTAGACGGGGGGAACTCCATGCCCCCCCCCTCCCCTGTCCTCCCTGTCGCCAGGGTGGACAGGGGAAGACTCCCCCGTGTGGACGGGAGGAATGGGAAGAGGAGGATCGATCGATCGACACAGAGTCCTCGAATCAGAGCATCGCATGAAAAAGTCGGATGAACCTCGGTGCACAGAAGTATCATACCCCCACTGTCGTTGCGCCAAGGCCAGCGGGCGGTGTTCCCGCCTCTGGCCACGGTACAGGGTGCTCTGGTACACCTGCCCGACACAGAGGCACCCAGCCATCAGGCGGGCTCCCCGATCTCATGACTACCTTCCTGCAACGCTGAGCACGATGCCAATCTTAGGGATTCCCTTATTTTTTGAGGGCGGATCCCTAAGATTGTCATCGCCTTTTGGCGTGCCAATCTTAGGGATATGGATACGTTCGAGGCTGGGGCAGATTTCGTCGCTTGCTTCTCGCGCGTTGTATTTCGCAGCAGTTTCACCTGTCTGTTTCAAGGGGCCAGCGTGCTCAGCACGCCTGCCGCCCGTCTCCGGGCCGCCCTCCCGGGCGTGGACAGCTTTTCAGTTCTGGCGGCAGCAAGCGGTGGAGTCAACCTGCATAGCGAGGATGGGCAAGCTTCCCAAGGGTACCCTTGCATCCCTATACCTCCCCGATCCACCCGTCGCCTCTCCTGTTGGCTGCGCCCCGCCCGGCCCGGAGAAAGCTTCGAGATGGGCGCCCGGGGCCCTTGCATCCTTCTCGCGTGCCCTTGTGCTACGGGTTGGTGCTGGCCGGCCCCCTCTCGCTTCCCCCCTGGGCTCCTCCCCCTTTCCCCCCCCGGCACGCAGCCGCCGCGCCCGCCGCGCCCGCCAGGCCCGCACTCGAAGCCGAGGAGCACCGCCGCCACCCGCGGGCCCCTCCCGCCCCCCACCAGCGGGGGCCGGGCTCGTCTGGCGAGTCGCCGTCGTCGTCCTCCAGCTCCTCCTCCTCCTCCTCCTCCTCCTCCTCCTCCTCCTCCTCCTCCTCCTCCTCCTCCTCCTCCTCCTCCTACACTCCCCCTCCTTTCACTCCTCCTCCTCTCCTCCTCCTCCTCCTCCCCTCCTCCTCCTCCTTCTCCTCCTCCTCCACCTCCTCCCTCTCCTCCTCCTCCTCCTCCTCCTCCCTCCTCCTCCTCCTCTCCTCCTCCTCCCCCCCTCTTCCTCCTTCCTCCTTCCTCTCCCCGGCTCGGCTCATATAAGGCTGCAGCATATCAGCTGTTCTATCATGTGCAGAACCCACGCGAGATCGATTCTTGCTTGGAGGTCGTTTCTCTGACAGTTTCGCGCGAGGTCATACAACGTGTTCTTTATGTGACTGGGCAGAGTGATCGAGCATGGACACGACCGCCCGCAGTTTTCCACCATGTGTTACAAACAGGAAAGCGCGGACCAAGAGCCGAAGTTTGACATCTTCCGTCGTCGAGTGTCAGTTGCCCATTACGCCGTCCCCTAATGGTTTCGGCCAAGGCGTGAGACTGATGCAGATTTTCATAGGACCCGGGGACAGCGGCATGACGTGCCAGATGCTCGAGCATTCTCATATTGGGAATGAGAGCGTTACATAACAGCACCTCTACGATCATTCTCCACAGCACCGTTCCGAGCGTGACTTGTGTATGCACTTCAAAGAAGCTCACCATCCAGGCAAAATTAATGACAACACAAGGTGGTTTCTCATCAGGGGGATATGATGAGATGCCGCGGCGTACCACCGGACGCCCGCAGCGGACCGATCTCGGAATTCGAAGGGGCTTGTAATTCAGAGGCAGACAGGCTTGCCGAGGCAGGGGCAGCTCTCAGTCGCCACGACGAGGCCGACATTTCGCTGGCAAGAGGAATGTTGTTTCTATCCCCGCAGGTCTTGAAGCTCACTACTCGTGCCGAAGTCTTGTTCCGAGGAAGGACGCTATGACGGCATTGAGGCCTGGGGCTTCACGATGGTGCCCCTGGAAGGAGAAGAAGAGCTCGGGGGAGGTACCTGGAGGAGGTTTAGGCGGAGGAGGAGGAGGAGGAGGAGGAGGACGAGGAGGAGGAGGAGGAGGAGGAGGAGGAGGAGGAGATTAGGAAGGAGGGCCCGCTGCTGCTTCTTAATCTGCGCCCCCTGCACCCGCCCCCCCCCCGGGCGAGCCCTCCCCGCCCCCCGGCCCCCCCGAGGGCGCGCGCGAGTGCTCTCGTGCGTCGGGGCCTGAGCAGGTGCCCTAGGGAGTGCAGGAGGCGCACGAGCGGGCCCCAGCGATATATACACACCACAGCCGCCTCCCTCGCCTCGCCCTCCTCCCTCTCCCCGGGAAAGACGCGGGGAAGAGGGGCAGCAGCGGCGGAACGGGGACCGGAGGTGGTGGTGGTGGTGGTGGTGGTGGTGGTGGTGGTGGTGGTGGTGGTGGTGGTGGTGGTGGTGGTGGTGGTG